ATCTTGATTCAATAACTTCTGTGCAAAGCACACTTGATAGTTATTTTAAAAAAAACTTAGTTATGTGTTGTGAAAATTTGTGATATTAGGAAATAAATTATTGAAAGGAAGTATAATATCATTCTGTGCTTTTGAAAAGCAGTTTTAAGTGGATATTCAGACTCTTTATGAGAGAATCTACAAATCTCCGAATAATGAGCACCTTAAACTGAGCACTTTTTGCCGGTCCCGATGGCGCTCAGATTAAAGAGGTTTTACTGTATATATGTTCTACGCATGTTAGGCACAGCATTAATCAAAATTAACATGGATCGGTCAAATGTTAGATTTCTTGATCTACCTAATGAAATATTAGTTATGATTTTAAAGAAACTTGATAATATGGATGTTCTTTATTCATTATTGGATGTTGATAATCAACGACTTAATATGATAGTAGAAGAAAAAACTTATACAAAGAGTCTCAATTTTGTATTAACAACGTCAACTGATGATATTTTGTCGATTGCTAATCCAATGCTTGATCGATTCTGCATTAAAATATTGCCTAAAATTGCTCATAATGTTAAATCTCTTATTCTTGAATCAGAATCTATGGAACGTATTCTTCGTGCTGCCAATTATCCTAATCTAACTGAACTTAAACTCTTTAATTTCAGAGACAAAATCACTTCACATTATTTTACAGGTAAAAAACTTTGGTGCTGATCTGAGCATAGATTTTGATAGAAATGTTGTATATATTGTAGAATATATCTAGTTATTTTTTATTTGTTTAGATGAATCACCATTTCAACATACTTTTCAACAACAAATTTCAGATCTTATTCTTGTATACAAAAGCAACATTGATATTTTATTAGAGAGACAATATCCAAACGGTGTGCATGAATATATTTTAAAATTCTTCAAGAATTTAAAACATTTGTCAATTAGTGGGTTTCCTTCACTTTTAACACTTCGTGATTCATCTTTGACTAGCTGTTCCTCTTCAACTCTTTACAAGTTATGTGTTTTTGTGTATTGTTTTGAAGAATGTCTTGCTTTACTTGATGGTCGTCTTAAACAGTTAACCACGTTTATTGTTATTATTGATCATCCAGATTATGATTCATCAGTTGTTTACAATATGGTAAGTTTATGTATTATTAGATTATCTTTTTAAGTTAAAACAATATTGTTTACAGTAATATTATGGATTGTTTCCTAATGAATTACTATACTCATTTGAATCAACTAAATAGTTGTAAAATCATGGTGATCTATTTGGTTAGCGAATATCTTATACTTTGCCACATATGAGTTGTTTTGAAGAAATAAATTGAATGACTGAATTTCATTTTAATAAACAAACTTAGCTTTTTATGCGTATTAGATTAATCCATACTGTACTTTTTTCAGTCAAAAACGGTTTTCTAAAATATTAGACTGAGAATGTTTATGTTCAGATATTTTTAAGATATATTTAACTATTCGAGAACTAGACAAAAGACCAACCTTCTATTATAGCTATAAACAATCTTTAATTTCTTGATCCCTTTTAGTCATTTTCATTGTTTTATAATAATAATATGCTTAATCTCAAATTTTTAAGTTTTTTCAGCAATATCGAATTAATTTCTATGCATTAAAAGTTTAGAAAACTCAATATGTTTGTTTCAGTTTTCATAAAAGAAGAATATATATATCATTGAGTTGAAGGAATATTTCTAATTGAACTAAATAAAAATATATTTTTTTCAATTAGTTATTCATTTGAACTTCTGTTTTATGATCGATAAATAGTAATTAAAAAATGTTGATTTGTATTTTCTAGGATAGTCTACCGAATTTGAAATGTTTCTCATTAACTTGTTGTTGTTTCACTGATGAATATGATACTCAAATTTTACCCCTTCTTAATTAACTTTGGATATTATTAACGACGATCGAACTACATTTGTCGATGGTACTCAGATTCATAATCAAATTCTTGTTCATATGCCGCGACTTTATAAATTTACTTTTCATATTAGTACCGGAACTAAATTGAATCATATAGTTGATGATTTATCAAGCGATGATATTCAACGAACTTTTACTAATATGGGATATCAGCACGTGAGGTGTATTCTATACTATATCACTAACCGTGCTATATGTCATGTTTTTTCGCTACCGTTCGTGTTTGATTATCTGGAGTATATTGGAAACACATTCTCACCTATTGTTTTTAGTCGTATTACAAACTTAGTGGTATATGATATAGTTCCATTCAAACATGAATTTTTCGTCCGAATTGCACATTTTTTTCCTTTACTTGAAAAATTGTCTGTTATTAATTCTAAATCACAATCAAACAAAACAGACAAATTGGATTCTGATAATAATCAACTGTATTCAGTCGTTGAATATCCTTATCTTATTTCGCTTTGTTTGGAACCTACTCATATTGATTATGTGGAGCAGTTTCTCAACGAAACAAAAACCTATCTACCTCATCTAATGAAATTGACGGTCGATTACGATCAATTAACAACGGTGACAGAAAACTTCACAAGAGATACAACACGGCTCAATTGTGCTAAAGTGAAACAATTAATTATCGAAAAAACATTAGTGCATTCAAAAGATTTTGATGTTTATTTTCCTATGTTGTTATCTTGTTCTTGTTATAACTACTTTGGTTAATAAAAAGATTTTAATAATATTTATTGCCCATTTAAAAAGAAGGTGGGAGGTATTTTTTTGAATAACCTTTGATACAATCACAATAGGGAGTTGCGATTTTCACCGTTGGAAAGAGGAGATGAAGACTCATCGAACGATATATTACAGAATAATTTGACTTATTATTTTTTTCAAAAAGTTAGATCGATGTTTTTGAAAACGAACATACTCCGTAAGATAAGTAACGGTAATTTTCAATAATCAGATGTGCATTTGAACCGCTAAATAAAGATCTGCAAACTTGTGGAAGGCCGAGACCTTTAGATTTACTCGTTCAGGAGTTTTAGACATTCTATTCGAAACCCTGAGTCGATTTTTCAAATTCATTTTTGTGAAAAAATCACCTTTGTGTTTTTCTTATTTTAAGGCCCCCCCTCAGAAAACCCAATTTTTCGAAGACAAATTGAAATTGAGGTTTTATCATAGAAAGATGCACTGACGTCTCCTCTTTCAGAATATCGATGACTTATTGCAAAATGAATTGATTTTGACGAACTTATCGTATAAAACTTGGCTCCTACTAACATACTTTACGAAAAATTTTCACGGTTTTTAAGAAGTTTTTTCAGTTTTTTTAGGCTGCTATCTCTGTGCATCAGCATTCGTAAAGTTTTGTTTTACTATTAATCACTATGAGACTATTAACACTTAATATTAAGATCACTTATGTATAGCCTATCGTGAGCACTAATATGTAATTCAGATGTGTTTCGCAAAAATCGACTTCTAACACTTATTTAACCTTTTTCTCAAAAACATTTTTTTCGAGCATGCCGTTTACGCGGGCAGACTTTTCTTCATAACGACTCGATACGGAAGCGATAATTTTTTTTTTATTGTATAGAGGACAGTTAGGGCTAGATCCTTACAGAGCCCGATTTTTGAATTTCTCTATTGGTGAAATAGGGTGTGGGTGTGGGTGTGTGGTGTGGGTGTGGGTGGGTGTGGGTGTGGGTGTTGTTTTCATCCAAGTTCAGCCCCACACCCACACCACCATACCCACACCAACACCCACACCCACACCACCACACCCACACCCACCCACACCCCACACTCACACCCACCCACGCCCCACCCACACCCACAC